AAATTTGGAACTGTCTAAACTTTAAGTATGAGAGAATATTATTTTGTCGTATTTCGACTCACATATGTTTAGGCGAGCATGTATGAAAAGATTGATGAATGTGGAGGAACGAATGAAGTTTGTTTGAATCGAAGCATTTGGCATTTCAATGTTTCTGCTTATTATAATGAAAAACAAGCGTAACAGATATATTTGTGTGTATGTATATATGTTTGTTATTTATCGATACATTTTCCCTTAAAAATTTGCCAATGATCTTGATTTCTCCTTACTTTATTAAGATTGTTAAAATATAATAACTAGATACATTATATTTATTAAAGTATACAATCAGTTTTAGTATTCAATTTTTCCAATCTTTTTCTTTCTTGTATCCACCGAACCTTATTATATTTTATTAGAAATCCGGTGGCAAATAAACGTAAGACCTGTCTGAGGTGAGCGGCTTATGTCGACCATGAACCTTTTCCCACAAGCAAAATCAGCAACAAACAAATTGCAAAACGGTTTGACAAAAGAATTTTATTGTAGTAACATTAAATTAATAATAAAGAAAAAATAGTATCAAATAAAATATTGTTATTAGATACTCAACTATTTTAAGTATTTTAAGCTTACTTAGGTCTCAACAATTAACATACTGGTACTTCTAACTGCAGCGTCGAGTGTAAAAATGTCTGAAAACTTGGCCAACTAACTTTTAATTGACGCGTATTTTTTTTTATACTAAAAAAAATGCACAAGTTGCAAGTAATAATTATAATATTTTGGTATATCTATTCAAATACATATTAACAAATATTGTAAGTCTACATGTGATCTGTGATACAAATTCACTAACACATGAAATAAAAAAGTTTGATTTTTTGGCAAAGCATTTGTAATTGTAAGCACTTTATCTAAATATTGTTACACACACAAACTTGAAAGTAACCTCAATATATAAACGTTTATGCGTACTATTGTAGAATCCAAACTCGAACCTAGTCCTACTGTGGCTCTGACACTATGGGGATATAGTGATATGTTGTATCAACCGTTAACTGTCCACTGCTAAACATAGCCTCCCCATAAGGGAGGTTTCGCTATGAGTTGCCACGCTTGGCAGGCGGGTTGACAACTACAGTTTGGCGTTTGGTGATATTTTAAGAGAGACTGCACATCCCTCCAGCATAAGCTCCCTTAGTCGCCTCTTACGACAACTACGGAAAAGGAAGGGGTGGCCTATTCTATGTCAGGACCTACACAGCTAATATTATAGCAATATATCTGTGGATGAATCCCACACACCTTCTCGTTCTTCTTAAACAAGCAGATTAAAGATTTTCCTTTGTTAAAAAAGTACTAAAATGTTTAGATATGGTTACTACACCTGACTGTAGGTACATATTCGTACAGACTAAGTATACACGTATAATTTTCCAACTGCTAATGAAATCGATTACTCGTCGAACGTGGGCCGATGTCCGTCGATAAGGTCGTATACTCCTATAGTATATGGAGCGTGACTTTAGCAGGCCTTTGTACCTATACTGCACGACATGCTGTGTGCTGGCTCGATTACTGACATGAAATGGAAATGACATCCATTTGGACATCGTATATCCTGTTCAGAAGCGATTGCCTCCGATCAATGTTTCGTGATTTTCCCTACATAAAACGTGAAATATAAAATGTCATACAGTGCCGTATTATTTTTTTACTATACTAGTGCAATGTTATTATACACTGGAAGTCTGAAATAGCCACAATTTAATTGCAACATAGAATTTCTTTTTATGCAACTTAAAACGGCAAAGAAGCTGACGGCCCACCTGATGGAAAGCGGTAATCGTCGCCTATAGACATAAAAATAAATAGACATAATAGAGTATACTGTTTAGCCCATGATACCCTCCATGCAATGCCATTCCTGAGGAGTGAGATGTATGCCTCTGTGCCCTGTAAATTCACTGCCATATCCCACTCTTTAAACTACAAATAAACTGACTGCCCACTTGATGGAAAGTATATTTTCACATTAGCCAAATTCAATTTTTGAGAACTATAAAAGGATTTGTTTCTTTATAAAACTTCCGTATATTATACACGAAATATATAACATTTTATGTAAAAATGGTTTTGTAAGGGTATGGGGCTGTAAGCTACATACTACTATAAAGCTTTACTCATGTCAGATGGGATAAAAAGTACCCTACGTTAATGTCGGTCTGTAATGTTCCATCTCTGCAAGTAACAAAATTTATATTTAGATTTAATAGTTTTCCATTTCTTTTGTATTAGATAAAATTGATATCAATAGAATCCTTCTAAGATAATATTCTATCAGAGAAGCTGAACATATGAATCAAAAATAATACGAAACATAAATCGAAAAAGAACGAAAACTAAGTTGACTCCTTTAAGATAGGTGTTAAGAAAAAGACATTTATAGTTATTCATCAATTTCAAATGTTAATTTAAACCTGTATATAAAAAGGAGAAATTGACTTTACTTACCGCCACTATATATAGAGCACTATGAGGATTTAGAAAGATAAATACATAGTATATAAAAAAAGCAGGTAATGACTTCAATACACCTAATTATATAATATATAACGTAACTGAGCACTATGATGGGTGATGATAGTTCAATTGGACAACGCTCGACTATGCTTCGAAGATTTTAAATCGCATCTTGATATCTATAATTGAATCTCAGCTTAAATCAATCTTATAAATTTTCAAATTCAGATTTGGATTACATTTCAAAAGGACTTTTTTGCAATTCCCAAAGGAGCCAGATAATGGATTCCGCTTGGGCGAAGCCACAGAAAACAGCTAATTTCCATGTTCAACTTACCATTTTCTAAACTGGTATTTCACATTCAGTATACGTATTATCTATAGTAAGTCTGTAAGCATTTGTTTATGTATTCTAAAATACATTCTAGAAACTGTTTGTACACGTTTTAGCGGATATGATTTCAGTGGTTGTATTTATTCGTACTAATAATTTACAAGTTTTCTTTCAGCACGATATTTATTCTCAGACACGTTTGTCATCGTTCGAAAAAGGTCGTCTAAGGTGATACTATTCATACGAAATCCCAAAGAACCTCTTCGATAATAGGAAACAGATGAGAAGGAAAAATGTACCTTAGCAAATAGAAGTTAAATATTTTTTTTAAATAGCTACTATCAATATCAGCGACTGATAAATACCGCAAATACCTCAGTTATATGAACTCAAAATGTGTCATTACTTTTCTAGATATTAGAGAAACCTTTTTCCGCATTACATCTTTTTAAAAAAATATCTCTCTATTTCTGTTTTTGTTTTTCGTTCTTTATGAATAACAATTATTAACAATTAATAATAAAATTTTGCATCACTCACACACACACACACACGCTCGCACACACGCACGCATGCACGCCCGCACGCACGCACGCACACACGCACACACACACAAATAGGATTCATATAGAGAACAATTAATGTATTAAACAACCTCATAATGCATTAATAAACAATGAATTTTTAGAACATCTATTTTCATTAATAAAAAACAAGTTTTATTTGTTCAAATATTAAAGATTTTTTTTATACAACTTACAATAGCAAACAAGCTGACGGCACACCTGATGAAAAGTGGCAACAGTCGCCCATAGACATGAGCAATACCATGGACATAACAGAGTGTACTGTTTCGCCCATGATACCTCCCATGCGTTGCCATTCCTGAGGACTCAGGTGTTAGTCCTCTGTACCCTGAAAATTCACGCCATATCCCACCCTTCAAACCGAAACACAGCCATGCAAACACAACTGCTTCACGGTTGAAACACGAATGGGACAAAGGTACCCAACCAATCGACTTTTGTATAAAGTCTCCCTAAAACTTTATCTGTAATATTTGTTCATATATTATAGATAAAGTTTTAGTTAAATAAAATGAAATTAAGATCATTGACACGTACAGGTTGAATGTAGTTTGAACATTGTGCCTACACGCCTACATACGAGTGTCTTGATTTCATAAAGATTTTTTTCTGTATGCATTTATTATCAGAGATATGAAATAAAAATATAAAAAAAAACTAAATCTTATAACACATGTTTTAGTGGTATGTCGTTTTAGAGTTTTAACTTAGTTTTTTCATTCTCTGAAGGTCTCTTAATTTTTTTTTTTTGATATAAAATGATCTAGTGTATTATACTTATATGAATTATTAAAAACAAGTAAGATATCTCGAATAAAGAAAAAAAGATTTATCCTTGTATTTAAAAATATCTCTTTAACTATACTTCAGTTGATGGAATCCGAAATTAACTGCCATTTAATTACCCACCGCTGGGCAAAGACCTTATAATTGAGTCATTGCCACAATAATACTCTTGTCTGGTATGATCACCGCGCTTGCCAAATGGGATTAATGACAATTCCAATTGAATTTAGAGGTTCGAATCCTAAATTTCGAACTGTTCAAATCACTGGGCCGTTAACGCACCCAGTATAATTTATTAACATGCTGGCAATATCGTGCCCTTTCACGATTCCAACTTTATTAGAGTTACACGAAAATTACTGAACTTTATCAGTCATCAGTCAATTTAGAATCGTGGGTTTGTACTTGTAGCAGACGAAACGATAACAGCCATGCCTGATAACGTTATTATTGTTTTGAACCAGCGTGTTCGAGTGTAGCCACGCAATGTTGTCACAATGGAAATCTAGGTCTTTCCTTACACTTTTCGCATGTTTACAATCTAGGTAACATAACGGAATAGTAATGCTACCAAGAGACGGCAATTTAACATAATACCACGGCAGCGGTCCCGTTTTTTCGGCATGTCAACAAATTCGCGATGTCTTTGTACCTAGTTGCTGCGTAATAGGTGACGGTTATTATTTTGCAGCGAAACTGAACCGCTCATAGCGAAATCTACTAATATACTCAATGTTTACGTGTTCATTCACACGCGTCGTGTTGTGTGAGTGTGGCGTCGTTGCGCCTGCGCAAACGGCTCGCGACCGAGCCCTCTTTGTTTGTTGACAAGCGAACTCAGCACTCGACGGCAAGGCAAGCAAACCGCTGTTCGCGTGTGGATGTCGTGCGCGACGGACGTGCGTCGCGTCTTGACTCCGATACACTATTACGTTATCGCTTTCGTTGGCTATATTTAGTGGATTTATTTTGAAGAATTTTTCCTCTTCTGCGCAATATTTTGGTGTTCAGTGTTGTTTTGTGGCGAGCTCTGCCCCGTCAGCGTTCATTGTACGAAGTTTTTTCTACGTCTAAAATTACTTATTCACTGCTGTGCCAGAAGGTATGTTTTTGTTGTTTCACATATTTATCGGTTATATCGAATATAACTCCATGATATATGTATATATTCGACTATTCGAATCTTGTGTTGGTCAATATCGTCTACCGCTTAAACTTTACACAAAACTACCTGCTTTTTTTTTAATATACCGGGATAAAGTAATTGCCTTATCGATAAATTGACGGGGCAAACAATGCATTTATCCCTGTTCTCTCTTCGATCAATCGGGCAATCGAGATATTGGACGACATCGCCAGCTCTTTGTACTGTAGTGGATTGGATACGCGGGCGTAATGTAACAATGGAATCGTATATTAATAACAAGGCATGGTTTACTTTTGGTAAATAAAAAATATAATGGACGCATTCTCAATGAAAAAGAAAAGAGGAACAGTGGAAAGTTCAGGACAGAATGCGTGGTCGTTACTTGGTGTCATGAGATTTCACCACTAATGAGATGCTCGCTGCATTAGTCAAAGGCAAACATTTACTTATTCCCATTTAGAGCCTTGTTGCAAATAGTTACAGTTATAATTTGACTGTTCGCTGTAGAAGGCGCATAGCGGTACCTCTTATGGTCGTGGTGGCTTGGCAACTTGTCTCAGCCAGGTAACGGGATCTGGCGGTATCCACAATATCGCACGACCACGCTGTTCTTCATTGATTTTATTCTACCCATATGGGATTCATGATTTCGACTTTTTGCAGTCACCTCAATTGAACTGGTCATAAACAGTTATGTCAACAAACTAGACAAAAATATTGCGATTAATGTAAAATAAATTTTCTGTCGTCATATAGATATCTAACTACCTCATAATAAAAATAAAAAAACTTACATTTAAATTGACAGAAGTACCGATAAAATTATATGCATGTGTATCACGATAATCTATAAATATTGTCTGATACGTAAATCAAAATGTACTCCACCTACTTGATAAATGAAAGCAATTAGAATAATAATAGCTGCAGCCAAAATTTTAAGGTACCTGTCATTCGTGGAACATGAACAGTTGCGTTCTTTTTAAATAGAACAAAATTTTACCTGCGAAGGGTATATTTTAACTACTACCAGCTAGCTACCTGGGAGACAAATGATCTTTTTGAAATATACAGACAATTACCTTAGTATTTACCTTATTTACTTTGTGAAACCAAGGTTTGCTGTATTACATCTTTCTTTGTTCCTTTGTTGAAATAATAATACGGCTTCCTTCAGATAGATAGAAACCTAACTGGTTATATTAAATTTAATTCAAAATTTTGCAACTTTAGTTTTTTGTTATATACGTATCTACAGAAATGTATTTGGTCTTTTGTAGTACAAGAACGCCTACCTATCTTATGTCCATACCTACAGTAAAAGTAATTTTATCGTGCCCTCGAATCTTGACCTCCTACGTTCACAGCTTTCTTTGTTGTGATTGTGGAATAAACATCACTGGAATCGAGTCTGAACCATCACAAAAGTGAACATAATAATTTAATTTCATGAAAAATTTGCGACTTAAATCGTAACAAAAATACGAAACCAACAATAGGGTAAACTTCGATTGAAAAATAATTAACAAAATTTGTTCACACTTAGTAAAGATATCGTGTAACGTAATATAAAAAAAAACACGTAGAATTGAGAATCTGCTACTTTGAAAATCGTGTGTATCATATTATTAGAGCCATTTACAGATATAAGTAGTTGTTCTTAACCTATTTGCTGTTATATGTTAGGAAGACATAGGCTATAAACTTCATATTAGGTACTTGCAAAGCTTTATAAATTGAAGACCAGACAATTTGTATGATTGCCTGGCACTTTACGGTATTGAAACCACAGTCAATTGGGACACATGAGCGAAATTTTAAAACGCAGTATTGACAAACACGTAAGGACAAATCAAAGCTGCAAAGAAACCGGTTTGTGAGAGTTCTATCGAATAATCAGCGCTCGATTTCGTGAAATCGTCAATATTTCGTCTCTGTCGGAGAGGTCAAGGAATATTATAAAGCAGTGAAAGTCCCGTTTGGCTGTAATCCAACACGCACGTGTAATCTTAAAATTGCGACTCCTTTGCCCGTTGTTGCTCACATATGAGCATAAAGTTCATAACCCCCACTTCTATATCAATTAAAAAAGATCTACTAACAACAACAAATATTTTTTGAACTTTGTATTAAAGATAAATTAAAATACATTCAAAGGACGACGTAAAATGCGCAGACTGACCAATGTGTGCTTACAGATTTGTCACAATAAGCCATTCGTGATGTGTGTAATTTTATCGAAGTACCGAATATTAGGAAACATTCTTGATATGATTATAAATGCTATTATTATTGTACACCAAATGAGGAAGTCAACTTGATCTATATTCGGAGTATGTACTATAAAATAAATATCAAACTCAGGATCTCTCATAGATTGTACATGAATGGTTCTATTTTCTCTATATCCTAACTGCAATAGAAAAGGATAAGATGGATGAGTGCAGAAATAAGATGGCATGGAAAAGAGAACAAAAGAATAATAAAAAATGTATAATGAAAAATATCCCACATAGTCCCACGCAAAAGTCTGGGGATACCTTCAAACTCTTGGCATGAACTTGGGTCATAAAAAACTTTTCTACATGCACCCAGGGGCTTTGTCGATCGCCAACAACAAATATAGTCGAACAATGTAGCGAATCGACTCCTTCAAATTATAAGTGTCTGGTTACATGGGTTACACTTGTATTGCTGTTTTTAACCGAGAACAACTTTATCTAGTCAGAAGGATTAGTCCACATATATGCATACAAGGTAGACATTATAGTCTATAAATTATTAATATAATTTGCTAAACCGCCGCAGCTAATTTAATTCGCCAATTAAAATAGAACGAAATTGGTGATCTGGAGTCTCAGGTAAATACGTCTATAACTTCAAGCATAATGTACCCAACCACATTGGTTTTAACATGGTTATGAACTATCCAATATTGTGTTCTGTGCTCTACACTGTAAGCTGATAAAGTGTTAAATAGCACCAACGGTTTTATGCTGGCCATAAACTGAATATTACGCATTAACAGCTGTTCTATTGTGTTAATGAACGATTATTGAGTAGCAATAACAAGGAAGTTACTCAACTGTTTAATTAAATACCTACACATTTGAGATATTACTTACGACCTTTGAATGTATATAATTATTATCCAACTCAGCTCTTGCAACTAGCATGGTGTATCAACATCAGTGTTTAATAATAAAGCGTTAGAAGAATAAATACATATTTTATTAAATTAATCAAGTAGGTACTAGACTTCGTCAGAATTACATTAAAGACCTTTGTGTTTTATATAGGATATTTTGAAATTTTATTTTTCTGCAAAAAATTCTATAGAGTATCACAGAAAAATCGAGATTACTGATTTTTAAAACAAAATCTAGATCACTTTATTTGACGTAGTTGTGTGCTAACTTCGTAATATAAATAAAAACGAAAATCCTAAGAATATTATGATGTGAAAGTCTGTAAAAACGTATGTATTTTAATCAAGTCATCATGAATAGTTCTGGATAAAATTCGATACATAGACAATCCACAAATTAGATTACTATTCTTTTTATCCTAATCCGGGAAATACAGTTATTTATTTACATATTTACACCGTGTACTTTTTGAGATGTGAGGACGTGATCTCACTCAGTAACATTCTCTGTCCTTATCACCTCAGACCTTATTAATATTCATTACAGCTTTCACAATACGCCTTAATATTATTCTCAGATTTTTTGCAATGGGTTGATGACAGTAACTATTTGTGTTGATGAATCACAAAATCTTTGTTTGACATTAACGAAATGTCATTGTAGTCTTTCGAGAAAAACGGAACACCAAAATATTTGTTAGATAAAATCATAACCTCGCTATGTTCATAACAGTACTTTGCTTAATACGTGTTCATAAAAACAAAGAAAGTTATTATACTGTTATTTGTTTGACACTATTGCGTTACACAAATTATAGTTTGTTTTTGTCATCAGCGAGAAATCTACTCACGTACCCATTTCGTTTTTAAGAATAACAGCTGTTTTATTAATATAACGGTTTCACATGAACTTGGATCTCCCGCTATAGTCATATCCAAACTCTAATTCGACGTCTCAAGAGGTAATTTGAAGGAATTGTCTCAGATATATTGGCCGAGTTCCAATGAGTTAAAGGAACTTATTTGCGACGTTTCAAAACCCTTTGTCAGGCCTCAACCTACGTGCTTTCTAATATTTTGCGTCGCAGAACTAGAGAATAGCATGTTGCAGATATAACATTCAATGTCCTCTACTTGTAAAACAATACAAGTAGTCGAAGTCTGTAATCATTAATACCTATTTCATTATGAGATATACCTATCAGTTCCCTGTTTTGTACGGATTAATTTTAATAATAGATACGACAATCAAATCAGGCTGCTATTGACAGTGTGGCCGATTATTATTATTGTGCTTCCTTTTAGAAATATCTATAGATTTTTGGACAAAGTTTCATTTTCTTTTGCATTTTCATATTTGTAGTATATATTATAACATTGTTTCTTCATATAACGTATCGAAATAAAGATTTACATGAAAGTTGAACTCTTTCCCAATTTCTCAGTCTTTTATAGTGCCAAAATACATCGAAACAGTTACAATATAGTTCTGTTACAAAGTGCCTATGTCTACTCTGTAGTTCTGCAAAGCAATTTTATTATAAACAAATACACATCAATAAACGCTCATACTTTCTACAACTAGTGCACTCGTGTCTAGACATGAGTGCATTAAACATGAAACTCTTCGCATTTTGTCTCTCGCCATGTCTGCACTAAATTTGCAATCATTATCCCCAATCCCTAGACTACCATTGTCTGCTGCTTAATTACTGTCTGCCGTTTCATTGCTATTCAATTAATTTACTTACGTGTAATCAAATTAGTATTCGTTTTTTGTATCAAGCAATAAACTTCGTTCCAATAT